TATATATATATATATATATATATATATATATATATATATATATATACAGTATATATAAATGCCATTTTCATCACAACTTTACACACAAACTCCAAATAAAGAGCTCTTCCCACACTGATGTGCTAAATATAAAACACTTTAAACTGTAAACAAAGACTCTCTTTCAAACTCTCTCCACAGAACTGGCCTCCATTGTTCACACCAAAGAGCAAACCTGAATCCTTATAGTGTTCCAGCTCTAATTGGTTACAGGTGTTTTCACAGGTGCATTCTGGCTGCAGGTGATTGACGAGGTTCAACAAACCGCACAGAAGCATTTTGTTTTGAATGATGTGTCTAATGTAGATAACTGAGGGTAGTTGTTTTCAAAAGAGTGTTTCAAAAAGTGTGTTTTAGAATTTAAAACTCAGTGCAAAGCAAACAATGTGCACTCGGTTGTGCATACCTGGTCAATAGATGAGGATACATGAGTCCACATACGGATGCCTGTTCCAAACATAACACACTGTCAAAACATATGAGCGGGAAAAGTTATTTGTTGTCCAAACCAAATGTTTACCTGCGGCCTATTTATGGTCCTCAGGCTCTGATTTGAATGTGAGCTCATGATCTAAAATGTTGTCACACACTGGAAAGACAATCGGCAGAACAGGTTTGGGAATGCTGCTTAAATAAAAATGCCATAAAAACACTTAAGTACAAGTATTTTACATTTGTAGTTAGTTACATTCTACCACTGTATTTTTTTTTCCAGCATTTTATTTTGCCTTGAACGCTCAGAGGTCTGAAATTGACAACCTCTGACCTCCAGGCCTTCCAGGTGCCGGACGCCAAACGTAAACAGAAACATGTCCGGCCGTGATAAATTCATGTTTCCTTTGTAACGCTTTAAGTGCTAACACAGTTGAACTCCCAGCAGCACATCCTGATACCTTTTTGGGGCTTTTTTCTTTTACATTTTCCCGAATAACTTTTGTTCAGAGACAATCAACTTACATACAGAACAGGTTTTACTACATGTTGGGACATATTATCTTAATTAGATACATGCAAATATACTTAACGTTGCCTTTAAGTTGATGGTTAACCATTTACAATGTGCGCTTTAAGGGTTGTGTGACGTTCAGTTGAGCTTTTCTAGTAGGAGGTCGAGTTGTTTTGAACGCAGCAATCATTTGCATTTATTCTGTTACTTTAACTGTCATATCTTGTAAATGGTCTCATTAACATGTCATACATGTCATGTATGACATGTTAATGAGTTTTAATTTTACCACCTGTCCTCGTGTTACCAACTATCAGTACATTATTTTTATTTCACAATCGCAGGATGCTCTTCAGACTGACAACCAACTTCCACTAAAAGTGGACAATAGTTTGTTTGTTTTTTACTTTTTATAGTCCAATATTATCAGTATTATTATTATTGTTAATACATGCCTTGACCCAGTGCAGCACTCTCTATTCTTTCTTCATTGTAAGCACTTTAGTGACTTTGTTATTATTATTCTAAAATGTCTGGAGGCGATGTTTAAATGACTTCCTCTCCCCACTGATTTTCAGTCATCTCAGTACATAAATAATGAGCACACCAACTGAAATAAAAATTCAGTTTAATTAGTCAAGAAACAAAAAAAAAAACAGCTTGAGATCAGAGTGAAAACAAAACTACGGTGAGTTTTCAAAGCATCGCTCGGTTCGCTCGAGTCTTCGGAGAGATGAAGGAGAAGCAGTCGATCCTCCTCAAACCGTATTTGCAAAAAGGTTTCAGATAGTTTGGCAGCTTCCTACACGCCACGACGGTTCAGTTTGACAACTTGGTATTTTCTATAACGGATGACTCGGTGGATGCTTTGTGTGGCCTGATTGGCTTCCATCCATCCATCTAGTATTTCAAGTTCGGTGATCTCCGGCCCATCTGACCAGAATTGTAAGTTTTCAGGATAGTTTTCCACGCAGCTCTATAATAAAGAGTTCAATCGTGGCAAATATGTCCCATCAGTGTTGTTTCCACAGTCTGAAACAGGACTCTGCTGCTGTGAGTTTCACAGTCCAGCACAGTCGTCCCGTCACGATCTGCAGAAAGAGAGAAGAAGCAAATATATTTAAAAAACAGCCCCAGCTCACTCGGTGGTGCTTGTAGCAAGTTTTAGCAAAGTAGAATATTCTCTGAGATTAAAGTGATTCATTTCCGATCACAATTCATTGGTCCTCAAATGTATCAAGATTTTTAGGTTAGAAAAAAAGGAGGAAACGATCTCCTAAAGTCTAAAGTTGTTTCAACTTGAACTCCGGAACCTAAAAACCAACAAAATGTGAAAAAGTCTCCACTCCCAGAGAGCATCAAGTGTCCAGTGCGGCGGTGTATTTTATAAACTGTAGTTGTAGTTAGCATCGTAATGATAGGTTGGGCTGCTGGGTATGTTTTTGAAACCGAAAGCAAACCCTGAAACTTTCATAACTGTGGATTTTGTGGCGTCTGCTGCTGCACTTGCTTTCAAACGTCTCTCATCTGCCCTCAAAGCCGAAAACCCTCCGCTCACACCCATCGAGGGGCTCAATAAAGGAAGAGCTCGGGCTCACACAGGATTTATTTGTCTTCTGTTTGAACCTTTAAAGAAAGCCTTTGGATACGTTCACATCTTCAAGCAACTCGGTGGCCTTCGGTGAGAAGCAACTGTTTGAAAAACGAGATTTAAATAGAAGAAACTGCTCTTATTTACCTCAACCTTTGAGGAGCAGCAACAGGACAGAGGACAAACAAAGATCTGACGATTTTGTTTTAAAGCTGAAATACACAATCTAATAATGTTCAAACTACAGCGGCAATGATGAAGCATCTAGTTGTTGTTGGAATTTAGTTTAAAATACCATCAAACAGCCAGTTAGTGTTTCAACAAACTGCCCCACATAATGATGACAGTAATATATTCATTAAACACATTACGCTTCAGAGTATTTGGTCCTTCCTGTTATTCTACATTCAGAGCCAACAAGGCACATGTCCGGTGTCTCAGACTAAACATTCCCATACAACAAAACTGCATCGTCAATTAAAGGGAAACGGCATTTTCTCCCGAAATATGTTTGTTTTATCACTAATATGTTTCTGATCAAAGCCCGGGGAAGTCCACACAGTGAGGAGGTCAGTGTGTGTGACGGCTCAGACAAACTCAGGACCTTCACTCTGTAGACCGTCGTCAGAGTTTAGGGTTGATGTGAGCGGTGAGACTAATCTATGCAGTAAATGCACCTTAAAAGCAAAACAATGAGCTAAAAGAGGCTTAAGAGCTGTGGAGTTGGGTAATAGTCGTGTATGGGTTTCCCCTGTCACATAGTCGTTTGATTAAGTGTTGATATTTTTAAATATTCGGTAGAAATTTAAGCATAAAAATTATATTACTATAGTTTTAATTAAACAACGTATCCTCAAATGGTTTGTATGATATTTTTAGAAAAGTTACTTTGTTATTTTTTGTGCGTTTCCCAACTAAATCTCCAGCAACACGAGCGATCTCCTGCGATAAGGCAACAAGATGACTTGGTTAGATTTAGGAAGAGATGGTGGTTTGGGCTAAAATAACTGCGGAAGTTACGAATACGAAACACAAATAAATCAACATTAGCTTTTGGTTTCACACGGGACACGAACAGCGGTCTCCTGAGTGAAAGTTTATTGTATTTAGACCCACTCATCCACCCCCACGTCACCTGTAATGGCTTACGATTACGTGGATTAAATACAAATTGATTACTCGGATTGCAAACAAATTATAGTGCATTACTTTCCGTAGGTTTGCGAACAGCTTTATGAGAACCGCTGCTTTAAGCCATGTTTGAAATAGAGCTCCTTTATCAGTTCAAACCGTTGACAACCATCTTTTTCTTTTGCTGAGTTAAAAGGTGAACCTCATTATCCATTCCACTGAGAGGTCGTATAAGGAACCTCTCAGAAGTTAATGCAGTATTGTATGAAACACTATAAAGTATGTGCTTCAATTGGATTCAATGCTCTGACATCAATCCATTTTCTTAAACTGCCATCCAGCTATATGCATCAGTACTGAATGTCACATACTGTCGACCTTTGTTAAAAGATAATATGCTTCAACTTATCTTGGGATGATAATGTCAGCAGCCTCTGGTTTTTGAAGTCTCATGTCTACATATGGGCATATTTGGAATGAGCTTTGCGAGCTCACTTGTGTATCTTCCAGATATCTCGGGAGTATGTTTTAGTTCAAACCATCAAGAGCAGCTGCCTGAGACTGTAGTTCATCATCTTTAGAATATTACCTCTTACTGAGGCTGCATCTCTGTGCTGCCGTTTAGATGGCCTCCTTCATAGTCCAGCTGGCACAGGATCATGTTGTTCTTGAGGAAAAACTTGTCTCCCACGCAAAACCTGCAGAGAGAGTATAAAAATATGGATCTGGGTCTCGGTTGTTTGCCTGAGCCGAAGTGAAGCATGAGCTCCCGGAGGAGCATTTCAGGCATATTTTCAGCACTGCTATGATAATCAGAAAATTAATCTTGCATGATTGCTGGCTGATTAACAATCCAAGTGATATACAAAGTTTTTAACCCCCTCGGGGTTGTAAACCTCATCACATTCTGATTATAATGCATTGGTGATGTGCTCATAATGACCGGTGAGCTCACTAGTGCACCTCCCACAGATAAGTCAACTGAATTTGATCTCCCTGGCTAATTGCTCCCCTAATCTTACCTCTGGCGGCAGAGCTGACAGGCGAAGCAGTCTAAATGGTAGACGTTGTCTCTGGCTCTCATCACCATCTCAAAGGCAGGGATCAGCTTACTGCAGGCTGCACAGTTCCCCGTCACCCCGAAGAGCCTGCAGAGGGGAAGAGGACGACAAGCAGACCTTTAGTCTGGACGCACTTAAGATACATTTCCGCCAAGAGAGTGAAGAGGAAAAAAAAAACACTGAAATAAAAGAAAAGAGGACAAGCTTGAAAAGTAGTTCAACGGGACCTTGCAACTGGGTCTCAGATGTTGCTCAATCATGCAGCTTTTTCTGCAAATAATACTGTTTTAAAGTGATAAACTGCACTGCGTTTCCTGCAGATTGTTGCTGGTTTATTGCTGCTGCAGCGCTTCCATCATATTGTATGGATTTTGTGCGTAATTAAGAGCAGCCAGGCGGGAGGAAACATTCCCATCAGCCTCCTAGTTGTAATTCTGAGTAGGAGAAATTTCTATCCACATAGTGAAAGATAACTGCAGTAGTGTCAACAATCTAGAGCCCCAAAAAACAATAAATGCAAAGCTGCTATCGTTGGCAGTTAAATATAAGTAAAATCCAATAACACTGATATAACCAATGTTGGCTAATTAACAGGACCAAGAGTCCACACACATGCCGCGCTGATGTTTAGCAGGTATTTATCATGTTCACCATCGTAGTTTAACATGCTAGCATTTGCTAATTTGCATTAAACACAATGCAGGTCTTTGGTCATCAACCAAAGTATTTAAATGTTTCCCTGAGGGCGCAGCGCTAAAGGGAGAAGTTGAGGGATTCATCCTTTGGGGAACATAAATTTGAGGGAGTTGAGGGAACATAAAGTTGAGGGAACATAAATGTCTGAACCAAATTTCATAGCAACCCATCCAGTAGCTGTGGAGGCATTTCACTCAACACCACAAATGTCAACATCAAGGTGGCGCTAGATGAAAAGTCAGAGGATCACAAAAAGTCAGTGGGATTCATCTTCTGGGGAACATGAATGTCTGCACAAAAAGTAGTTGAGATCTTTCAGTCTGCTATAGCCTGTTTTTAGGTAACACCTCAGAATACAGAACACAACATTATGAGTCAAGAAACAATTGACAAATCAGGATCTAACTGACTAATACTAATAATAACTTCATGTCACAGCACCTTTTAAAACTACCTTAACAAAGTGCTTCACTGACAAGGACAAATAAAAGAATGCAAATACACAGTTAACAACATAAAACAACAGATAAAAGTACACAGAAAGCACGAATAAAATAAGTAAATAAGACAAAAGATAAGTTTGTCTAGAGATTATTTAAAGAGGGCAGGAAAATAGTTGCGACTAAATGGACTCCATAGTAATGTAAATATCAAATGATACGTTAAAGAATAGAATATGAAGAACTATGTTAACACGTTTGTGTCCAAATTCTGATCAACTGTTTCTGAATATAAATCGGCAACAGAGCAGCATTAAACTAACACGTATTCATACTCGGATACAGATATCTAGGAACTAATCCTCACATACAGTTCCACAACAAAGCATCTCAAAGTCTGTTCTCCAGTATCTCCTTATTATCTATTTCGACCTAGATTCACAGTTATTCAGGAACTACTTAATAGGGTTTCATTAATTACCAGTTGGCACCCGATGTGTTCCTAATTCATTTCTTCGTAACTGCTCAAAATGGTGTGCAGCAATCTCTAAACCCTTTAGGCAATCATCTAGAAATATGTGGGAAAAAATAGAAAAATTAAAAAAATGCAAGAACTTCTTTTTCTAAACGTGTGTGGCTCAATTTAGGCTGCGTTGATATATATGGTGTGATCAAAGGCCTGGTGATGCAGCTAGCCATCAATATTCAACCATTATCATCTCTTCTTAACAAACCTCTGTTGCTGCTGCAGGAAACATAAAGTGCTTAAGATTTTTGTCAATTGTAAAAGCTTTAATAAACTGGATTTATAACTTGAATCACTGTTGCACTATATCAACAGCTGATAAATGGCAGAAAAATGGAGATTCACTGATATGAAAATGTCAATTTATATGAAAATGTCACTTACTTTAAAAGCCAGATGGTGTTTTTTATGCCTAATAGGACTTTAAAACTGACTTTAGAGGTAAGAACTTGAGTCAATCTATTATACTTTTTTGAAACTAGCAATTTATCCGTCACCATTTGAACTATGTCCTCACACTACCTGAGAACAAACCCCGTGTTGTTTTTAAATAGTCCGTGACTCGGTGCTGACCAGCAGCAGATTGCTTCACCTCTCGTTCACCTCTAAAAGAACGAACAAACGGCTCCCTAAGAGCCTGACACACATGGAGATAAGTTGCGGCTCCATATTCCATTAGAGGCCAGATAGAAAAGGAGGTTTGGTGAGCAACAGCTATGAAAAACGACGTCCGCAAAAATAAAAAAGGAGGGAGGAGAGAGGCGAGCATGTGTCTCCCAGAGCTTCACACGACAAATGAAAAACCGTCATCAAACGAGTGACCAACGCGGGAACAAAAGCGAGTCCTAATTAACCGAATGTTCTGATCTAACGAGCCTGAGTCCTGAGCGGGCACCTGGTGGGGTTTTCTTTTTCCTCCTCCTTAACGAGGCAACGGAGCTCAATGCTAATTCTCTACTAATGGTCCAATTAAAAGAAATCACATGGTTTTAATCCTGCTCTTCAAAGGCTTTTGGTCTGCACCCTCACAATGATGAGGAAAACAGGAGGCAATCTAGCCAATTTAACTGTCAAAAGGGGTTTTGGTCTCCTAAGTGCAGCGCAGCTAATGAGAGACTTAGCTCCAACCAAATCCAGCTGGATTGTACATGAGACTAACACATGAGTTCAGCAATGTGGCTGAGATATCAGGAGTTCTCCTGCTGACCTGACACCAGACGTCGTTATTTCAGGCAAGAAAATGGAGGCTGTATAGCTCTCAGAAGGGCCGATTGAGCCGGGGGTTTAAGTTTGTTTAGAAGTGATTCATGGTCAGAAGACTGTTTGAATCCAAAGTGTATTTAAAACATACTTATTCATAAATTCATTGTGTCACGATCCACAGGCACTAGAGGTCGAGTTCAGACAATCTGAAAACATTTATCCTTATCTTTAGAGGGTTTGAAGTGTTATAAACCTCCTGCCCCATTACAAGGCAGATCCTTTAAGTACAAGCATAGTAGACACTTCAATTACCTACTTAAAGCAAAAGTAGTAAGTATATTCGCTTCCCTGCCCTAAGTTAAGAAACTGATACCACTAAATATGTCGCTGGAGCCAGGAGACGAGTTAGCTTAGCATGAAATACTGTAAATGGAGAGAAACAGCTTGCCTAGCTCTCTCGCAAAGCTAACAAAAGCCACTTACCAGCACCTATAATGCTAACTAAAATATTTATGTATCTTGTTGGTTTATAAAGTACAAAAAAATGACACTTTAGATAAGAGACTCGTACGGATCCTGGCCAAAACACGTTCCGGCACAAAACCCTTCTTACAAGGCAACTTGCCTCTAGACAGAACCAGGCTAGCGGTTTTCAGTCTTTATGCTAAGCTAAATTAACCGGCTTCAGTTTCATAATTACTGTGCAAACATGATAGTGGTGTAAATCTTCTCATCTAACTCTCTGGAAGAAAGCGAATTAACGTATTTTCCAAATCGTTGAACTAGTCCTTAAAGCTACAGTGTGGAGGATGTTGTTGCATCAAGCTGTGTGATTGCAGATCGCTGCATGAGTAAAAATGATTTTATGGTCTCAAAAAAGTATAAATTGCAAGTCTCCTTCAAACTTCAAAGGCACACTGTAGGGCTTGTGTAAAATTAAAGACCCATTATTCTACATGGAAAAAATGGCACAACATTCTTGTGTTTCACTAATCAGTCGAGTGGGAGGGAGGTTCTCTATCAGCGTTTGGTATTGGTTCAAAGCTAAGATGTGTCATCAAATAGGGAAGGGGGAAAAAACAACAATCCTGCCCTTCCAAGACTGCAGTAACGTGGGCGGTCGAGTGCAAAACTGTGGTACCGCCGTTCACCTCGTTCAGAGGCCGTCCATACCATAATAACGTTACTTTAGCGGCTGGCGGTTGTCGTGATTTCGCACTCGTGTTGCTCACACTACAGCAGCTTCACAAGCATAGGTCAGAGAACTACGGTGGCCTTCAGGTAAGGTAAAAAAAAAACGCAAAGAGTTTGGTTTGTCCGTTGTGGGCTACTGTAGAAACATGGTGGACCTGCTCCCTACGTAGATATAATCAGCTCATTCTAAGCTAACGAAAACACAACGATTCGTAGTTTCTCGTTATTATACAGTAATGAAAACATAGTTATGAATATTATATTCGTTTTCTGATAATTATCCCTCGAAAGGCTACACACTGGCCCTTTGTTGCATTATTAAATCATAATTTGTGTATCTTTGTGCAAACTTCACCCTCTATTCTCTCATTTCTTTCTGTGTCAACTGTTAATTGTCTAAAGAATAAGTAAAATTGGCATAAATGTTTATTAAGAATGTTAGGTGACCAGAGAAATAAACCCTTTTTCAGGATCAGTAGAAGGCAGAAAAGTATGTGTCCACTAAAGACTTTTAATACACAGTGTGGAGTCCCAATGACTCAAAATAGACTCAAGTAGCTCATCCAAACAGGTCTGGGTAAAACATGCTTGGACTTGTTTTGTATTATTTCTAAGAAATATGACACACCTTCTGTGTGGTTTGCTCTGAAAGCTTCATTAAATCAGCCTAAAGGTTGGTGGTTTTCACAGTCAGTCATTTGGAAATCTATTTACTTCGTTGTTTTCGTGGTGTACGCTTTATTGTATTTGTACATTTCTCAGATAAAATCACCACATCTGTCCTGCTGTTGTTAATGGAGGCTCTCAGATTCAACTTAATACCTCTGTTCCCACAGCTTCTCTGATAAATTACCAGGCTGTCTTATCCGGAGTGGATCTACAGTCTGCTTCAGCTCTTTCAATCTTATACAGTACACATGATTAACATACTGCAAACTCTGCACTTGACAGCAGTGTTTGCTGGGACGATTTGCTTTGAAGCTGCGTATAAAGCTCCCGGGGTCTTTCTCAGTCCATTCTCGCACCTGTTTGGGGGCTTACCTCAGGTAGTCTCTGCGGCAGAGGATGAGGTTGGCCCGGGTGTAGAGGGTGGAGCCCACCCGGCCCAGGCGGCAGTCGCAGCAGGCACACTTCAGACAGTCCTCATGCCAGTACCTGTCCAAGGCCTGCAGCATGAAGCGGTCCCGGATCTTCCCGTTGCAGCCGGCGCAGCCCCTCGGCTTCTCTCTGGACTGGAGGGAGACGAGGGACACGCCTGGCAGGTGATAAACAGGTTGACAAGAGAGACAAATTAAGAGAGACAGGTGAGGTTAAATTAGAAAGCTGATCATGATTGTCTACTGAATTTATACAGTATTGAAATAATCAAAAGGTATCTTATACTACAGATAAGAGAGATATCATTTGATCATTATACATGTACTCTTGAATATCACACACTATGGTGAATATCACTACATTATTGTTGGGTCACCATATATGTAAAATGTGATCCTTTATAAGAATATAATGTTGGTATAATGTCATAATAAAGCACATAACGTCATGTTCCTGTAATAATACAACAGTAGTGTTCTGCTAGGGAGGAGCCAACTTCACCATTAATCATCATAAAAATATTTCTTAAGTTTGACATTCAAATCTGTTTGCTGCTATCTTTTATTTAAATGTATTTCATGCTGCACAGTTGCACACTATCCTCCTCAAAACCTTCTTTCTGCTGTCATACATACATAGAAAAAAGGAAATACACATTCACGTCGGAGAAAAGAGACATGTATCTTAGACCTCTGTACTTACTCTCCTCCTTGTCCAGCACCATCCTTTTCTGAGAAAAAAACAACAATCCAACAAGGAGACCCCTCAAGATAATAAAAAAAAACCCGAAGAGCGATAATAAACACAGAGGGCTTTGACACTCGCTCCTCAAACTTCAGCTCCGCTCCTCATTACCGCGAAGAAAGCCAAGGGAAACAGCCATTGAGTAGCTTTCTCGGTAAAGAGCGTCTCCGGGTATATATATATATGTATATTTACATATATATATATATATATATATATATATATATATATATATATAT